GGATCAGTGGGCATCAAGGCTATGACCTGGACATACTTTTTACCAGGTTTATGTTGGTTCTATATGTTGGATTAGGTGTCTAAGCCCATAACTATTTTTGGTATGTACTTGATTTGATTATGAGCACGGTCCTTTTGGGTTGCCTTCACTCATGCAACTTGATAGGATGACAAGAGGAGAGAAAGTAGAATTTATTATATGAATAATAAATTCATACTCAAAATGGTTTTATTAATATATTACAAGATTAATATATTATTTAGAAATCATATTATTTAATTAGTATTGATCAGAAATTAATTTGGGATTAATTTGATGATCAAAAGAGACTGATTAAATAATTGGGGGACTGTTATGCAAATCATTGATAGTTGCATAATTGGGCTGATGGACTCCATAGAGTGGAGTGGACGAAATTTATGGGGAAGCCCATAAGATTTCGTCCATGGGCTCTATGGAAGGAGTTCATGGGTTGCTTGTTGCCTAAGTTAGGTATTAGGGTTTCCACCTGAAAATCCTAACAGCCCACACAGCTATATATATAGACCCTTTGCTAGTGGAATTCGTCCCTATGAGTTTCTAAGAAACCCTAGAGTGGTCGAAATCCTCCTCTCTCCTAAATCATCCTTTGCATAGAGTGTTTGTGACTCTATTAGAGGTGCGACACTTGGGGCACTAGGCTTTCAGAAGTCAAGATTAAGAAGGATTAAACTTGTTATTGCTACATAACAAGAGAGGTAAAGTTTCTAACCCTAATCATATGTCAATTTCGAAATATGTATGCTAGTAATAGGGTTATTTCTTTGGTATTCATGTTGTATGTTCAAATTAGAAAAACCTAGATCAAAGCAATTAGGGTTGCATGAACACCATAGGAATGATTTTATGCTCATAACCCAACACTATATGCTCAAGAATGATCATAAACTAATATTTCCAATAACATATGATCCTATAGGGTCACATCAATAAGAAGTAGACACCAATTTAATAAAAAAATGTTCCTTTGGAAATATTCAAATATTATGTTTTGGGAACAAATGCCACATTAAGTTTTATACTCTAAAATAAATAAATATAAATAAAAAAGTTTTAAATTGACCGCTAAATTGGGGATGTCGCATGTTTCCCAAGGATTTGTCGGGGGTGCCTCCAAGGAGGCATGTGAAGTTTTGGATTGACCTAGTTCCGAGTGCGGCTCCGATAGCCAAGACACCTTATCGTATTGCACCTCCTCAGATGCAAGAGTTGTCCATGCAGCTTTAGGAGCTGCTGGACAACGGGTTCATCATGCTAAGTAGTTCTCCATCAATGTTGCAAAACTCGTTAGACATTCCCAGGGTGGCCGACTAGCGCCTAGCGAGTATTCGGTCTAGGCGGGGAGTACTCGGGGAGTACTCAGATTGGATAAATTATATGAAATTAATTTTAGGAAAATTATATTTATAACAAATATAACAAGTTTATTAAAAATTATAACAAAATAGATGAATATCAATAACAAATATAGATTTTTTTATCTAAAACAAGTCGAAATTCTGGTTTTTTTTTCCAATTTTGATCAATTCATAATTTTTCAATTTTGACCAATTTAGAGCCGATTTTGACCAATTTTGACCGAGTTTGACGGATTCTGATTTTTGGTCGATTTCTAATTAGACGCCTCGAGCCCTACTTGATTCTGATTAATCAGCCGCCTAGGCTGATTTTTGCAACCCTATTCTCCGTAGGGGGTCTCATTATGTTTATAAAGAAGAAGGACAACTCTCATCGGATGTGTATCGATTATAGGGAGTTGAATAAGCTGATGGTGAAAAACCGTTATCCACTTCCGAGGATCGATGACTTATATAATCAACTTTAGGGCATATCTTGGTTTTCCAATATCAATTTGAGATTGGGTTATCATCAGATGAGGTTCAGAGATGAGGATATTTAGAAGACAACCTTCAGGATTCGTTACAGACACTATGAATTTGTGGTTATGCCATTTGGGGTCAACAATGCACCAACAACGTTCATGGACCTCATGAACCGAGTTTGCAAGCATATGTTGGATCGATCGATTATTGTGTTTATTGATAATATTTTGGTCTATCCTCATACCAAGGAAATACATGAGGAGCATTTGTGGGAGGTTCCTGAGACTTTAAGGAGGGAGAGGTTGTATGCAAAATTCTCCAAGTATGAGTTTTGGTTGTACGAGGTGCAGTTCTTGGGTCACCTTGTCAATCAAAATGATATTTTGGTCGACCCGACCAATATCGAGGCTGTGATGCAGTGGGGAGTCCCGAGGTCTCCATCTGAGATTCGAAGCTTCCTTGGTTTAGCAGAGTACTATCAGATATTCATTCAGGATTTCTCCAAGATCGTAGTTCATTTGCCCAATTGACGAAGAAGAATGTCACTTTCTTATGGAGGCCTGTACAGCAGGCGACATTTAAGTTTTTAAAGCAGAAGTTGTGTGAGGCTCCAATACTAACCTTCCCCAAGGGTGTGGATGATTTTGTGGTCTATTATGATGCATCAATGCATGAGAATTCAAACGTCACCTAAAAGCAACATAACATACGCCAGACTCCTATTAAGTGATCCATTAAGTCACTTATTAAGCTCTTAATCCTAAATTTGGAATTTCATTATTGAAAGTATTCCACATGTTAAAACATAAATGTACGAAAAGATCATGCATGATTTCAAGTCCGGATGTTATGAGCAAAACAAGTTTGGTTGACATACAATTCATAAGCCACAACCCGACTCGTGCCACACTTAACAACTAAAAAACGACTAAAATTGCACTTTTAGGCATCATACTTTGATCCAAATGCATCTAATCATTATACTACCTTCCCAAATGACCCTTATGAACCTAATAATTCCATAAAACTCATTTGTTACTTAAATGTATTCCATTTTCATGATCACTTAGATGATTAAAAGTCTTAAGGTCATAATCTTCATCAAACGCACAATGGAGTGATTATGAGTTTAATTTTCATAAGAGATCAACAAGGAGCAATGTGATTCATTCAACACTATTCAATGTTTATATGAATATCATGAAGTGCATATTATCATGCTCAAATACATTTTAGAGGAATATAGGCTCTTAATACAACCATACAATTACAATTCAATTCCATAGTTTCCTAAAATGCCCTTGTGGCCAATAATAATCAAAACTACTTATAGATTAAGGGATTTATCATGTTTTTCTTCCAACACTAGATCAATGTATCAATATATTGCTATGAACATCCTTTTATATATTGTATCATCTACAAATATCCATAGAAGTTCATGGATCGATCATTCTCCCCAAACTACAATTTTATCTACATTTGATTCTACCATATTTTTAAGTTGTGCTTTTCCATGAGGGATTTGCATCAAAACTAACACAATGGTCATGTAATCACATAAGGAATATGTTAACAACAACATCATTATCATTGGAATGTAGGGTTTGTGTTGAAGTTTCCAAATCAATCTCAATTTCACCAAAAGATGTTAGATTTGAGCTAGATTTTGTAGCAATCATCTTATATTTGTTTGAAATCAAAACCCTAGTCATCAAATGGGCATAAAATCAGATTTAGTTCCCACAATGAACATCAAATTCTTATTTCACAGGAATATGAGTGGTTTCATACCTTAGAAGTTCGACTAAACACCGTACAACCCCGAAAATCAACTTGAGATGGTGGAGTACATAGAGTCGCATGTGGAGGAAGAGAATTATGGTTAGACGCAAGCCCTAATTTTCAAAAAATAGAGTTCATGCGGACTTGAAATAAGCACTGATGGTAGATGATGTTGACAATGGCTTTCATGAGGTGGATTTTAGAGGAGTTCTACCCTTGTTGGCCATAGGAAGCAATGTTTCGAGTGCTGGTGATACGAAGATGATGGAGGAGAACAAAAAGCTGATGAGAGATGGTAGAGGTATGATGGAAGCAAAGAACGAACATGAGAGAGAGAGAGAGAGAGGTGGGGTTGGGCCCAATAGGAATACGAAAATGCCCCTTTGTTTTTTGCTAGACAACATTGGATTCTAACGTCTGTTACTAACAAGGATCAAAACCAATAAAATAATAAATTTTGGACCATTGATCCACCATCAAAATTTTCAGGAACAAACTATGGACATAATTTTGAATTGTGTCCGTAAGAAATAAAAAGAAATTAAGAAAGAACTATGAAGTTTTTACTTTTTACATTTACCACAACCAAATATGTATTTTGCTCAATGTTTTAAAAATCAGTTTGAACCGGCCGGTCGAACCGGTTGGACCGGGAATCGGGGAAGGGAGCGGTTCAACTATTACCGGTTTTATGTCTATTTCTGAACTGAATCGAACCGGCCGGTTTTTACAAAAATCCGGTTGAACCGGTTCAATTAAACCGGTTGAACCGGTTAAATTAAATAAAAACACATGGAATCGAAACCTTTTGCATAATAAACTTTGGTAGTTTTTTCACATTTATTAAATTTTTTCTGAATAAAAACACATGATAAATGTTATGAAGTTTTTTGAAGCATTTATATTCATCTACGACTTTTTTTTTCATGCACGTAGATTGATGTAAAACTTATGGTTATGAGTTATTTTAATGTATTTAAAATGATCTACAACTTGTTTTCATGTGTATTTTAATGTTTAAACTTGTTAACATTATATTCTTGATTTGTGTATGTAGGTATGTGTACGAAAATACGGAAAAAAATAAAAACTATAAAAACCGGTTTACTTAGTGGTCGAACCGGTTGAACAGGAAACCGGTCACAAACTTTAAAATTTTTGCTTTAATTTTTTGATGCTTAAAACAAATTAGATGCTCGCGTGTGGAGCAATGCACTTCTAAGTCGCGTGGTTCCGTAGTACTCCGGCTACCAAAGCCGAGAGTAGGTGAATGACATAGAATATTGTAGTACTCCTCAGCTTCTTATTTAAATTTAGTCAATTATTGTCATTTTTCTCGATAATTTCATGATAATGGACATAATCCTCTGCGACGAGCTCCTCCAAGAAATCTTCCACCGCCTCCCTCCTCCGTCGTCATCCGCCGTCTCCCTCGTCTCCAAACGCTGGCGCCATCTCCTCCACTCTTCCCTCTCCTCCCTCACCCTCCGTCTCTCACCCAATCACCCTTCTCTCCCTTCCCTCACTTCCTTCCTTTCTCTCCACACCTACCTGTTCTCCCTCTCCCTTTCCTCTTCCTCCTCCGCTGCTGCAACCACCGCGTTCTCCGACAGCCTCCTCATCTCCATCTCCTCAGCTTGCCCTAACCTCACCCAGCTCCGCCTCTCCACCGGCCCTGTCTCCTTGTTTCCCTTGTTTTCTCTCTCCACCTCATGTCCTCACATATCGTCTCTTTCTATTATCCTGTCCAGACCTCTCCTCTCCCTTCACTTCCTCTCATCATTCCGCTCACTCAAGAACCTTACCTTAATCCTTTCGGGAAACGGCTCACCTGACTCTATTTCCGACCACTACACCTCCTCCTCGACTGAATTGCAGCTGGAATCCCTCTGCTTATCAGGAATTCGGGCCGGAGATTACGAGCTCAGTTGGTTATGGAACAATTGTAGTTACAAAGCCCTATCGAAGCTCGTTTTCGAGAACTGTGAAGGCGTAGGCGATAATCATTCATTTGCGAGCTTCATCCAACGACTGAAGAACCTTCAAGAAGTCGAATTGAAGACATGTAGGTCAATCATCGCCTTAATTTTGCTTAAATTAGCTGAGAATCGTTGCGATTCTTTGTCGTCTATGTTAATTTACGATGGAGGTAGCAAAGAAGGTTTGCTCCATTTCATCCGCGAAACGAACTGTAATCTCCAGAAACTCGACCTCCGATTGCCGCTCGATTTAGACGACAGTCATTTATTCGAAATCGGTACGAAATTCACTCAATTACATGTTCTTCGATTGCAAAGTTGTTCTATGGTCACAGGTGAAGGACTCAAAACCCTAGGGTTAGCTTTGAGTGATAACCTCGAAGAACTCGCTTTAACAAATTGCGATGTGATCAAGAGACAAAACGGATTCCTTGTGGAATTAGCTCAGAATCTACCAAAAATCAAGATACTCGATCTCTCCTACAACCATATGCTTCTCGACAAAGAATTTGTATCCATGATCAGTTCATTCAAGGATCTTCGGAAACTGAAACTAAGGGGTTGCAATAGGTTAACGAATGCATCATTGATCTCATTGTGCAAAAACTGTAAGCATTTGGAGAGCATCGATATGGTCTACTGCCATGGAATCCAGATGGAAGGTGTTGAGTTCGTGATCCTGAATTCTCCAGAACTGAGAAAAGTGCAAGTGGAAGATCGCAAGTTATCAGAAATTGCGAGGAGGTGGATGATAAACAAGTTTATTGAAGTCCAACCTTGATCAAGAACAGGTACTTCTAAGTTCTAACAATTCCATTGAAAATTATCAACTGTATATGGTTTCTTGATTGTGTGTTATAAACTATAATGAATCTTTGTCCTGTTTCCATGGAAATAAGAAGAATGCATATTTATGTAATTGTGTCTTGTATTGCAACTAAAGAATTAGTTTGATTTGTATGGTATTTATGCAATTGCATATAATGTATAAAGATGAATAATTTGATGCATAAAGTGTATAAAGATTAATAATTTGATGCATATAGTGTATAAATTTGTTGGTGAGTGTTTTACAAAGGGAGGTGATATTGGCACGACAGTTTTTAATGCTTCGACTGAAAAAAAAAAGATTGACAATTATGCCCCTCTTTACTAAAGAGAGAGAAATACCAATCTATGTTTCAAAAAACGCATGATCTTCGGCTGTTACTTTCCCCCATAAAATACGACGTGGGTAATCTTATCTATAAAAGTCAATTCACTGACCTCAATAGATACATAAATTCCTTATGGGTAATGTATTTACCCTTCTGTAAGAAGCCTCTTGAAGGCACAAAAGATAGAGCAGAAAACATAGGTGAGCCTCTAATGGGAGATTGAAACTCATCGAAAACTTACCTTACAGGTGACAACAAGTTTAAAATGTTAAGAATGAAAGCGTGATATTTTAATGCAAATCATATCCGTATCAACGGACGTATTCAAGACTTTAAGAGAAAGAATCAACTAAAATGTATCAGGTTAACTTGACTATTGATAATCTTCCTACAATTCGGTACACTAAAAAAGATGGATATAGTCTACGATGAATTGGGTATCCCATCGGAATCAAAGTTAAAGAGGTTTAATATGTCTTCAATCATTTGAATTTAGAGTTTTAGCTCATGAACAATGAACAAAACAACGTGTCGGCATCATTGGGAATGGTGATGGTGCTGAATAATCACACATAGTAACAAAACGAACAACGAAGGCTACATGGTGGTGGGTTTTGAAGTTCAACCAACATGAATCACGATGTTAGTTTGTTATAAGATATTAAAACTTCTAGAAAATACTCAAAATCAATCAAATGTGATCGTGCTTCTGTCACCATGGTTGTGACAAAAGGTAGTTTACTTATTGACAAGTCTATTTTATGAATGTACTAAATTGTCATAAATCTGTTGAATTGATGTATAATTGTCCAAGAATGACACTACTTTAATGAGTTGTTGAACTTCATATGCAGGTCAATATATCATACTAAAAGTGGGCGGAACCTGCAAATAAAACGGATTGCTAAAGGAATGAAGAAACATTGTTGGGAAAATTGACCACACTTCAATCTTTTGGTCATATCTCAAGTTTTGGAGCTCCGATTGACATGAGTAAAGAAGTTCTGGAAACTAGACAAGATTTGCTACAACTTTCATGTTTTGTGTTTCTGCTAGTTATGTCGTTTTGACCACCAAAACTTGTACGGAAGATGAAGGACGCCTGCAGGCGTCTAAGACGTCCCCTAGGACGTCCAAGTCAAACAGTCAACATTTGGGAAAATTGCGGAGCAGGAAAGAAGGAAGGACCCCGTCGGCGTTTTACACGACGTCTAAGATGTCACCAAGGACGTCCAGGCGTTTTAGGTGCGCCCCGTGTTGGAACGGTGTGTTTCGGAAAGCATAGAAATCAAGGAAGGACGACCTAGAACGCGTCTAAGACGTCCCCTAAGACGTTAAGCGTTTTTGGCCAATTTTTAGTGTATTTCAAGGACGACAGAAGGCATGCAAACACGTACAAAGAACGACTGGGCGTTATACATGACGTCTAAGATGTTTCCTAGGACGTCCAACGTCCCACATTGTGACAACCCGAAATTTCTATTCTGTACAACCATTCACTTCAATAGAAGTCAAAACTGTTTCTGCTAACTGTTAAGAATTTTGGAGTCAGTCTGAGTGTTTTAAAGTTAGTACTTCAAGGGATAACAGAAGAAAGGATGCCCTAGGGTTTATTGTGCACCAATAAAGTTCCAAAACTCCAAGAGTTTGGAGTTTACGGCCTAAACAAGGTGTTTACGGCCGTAAACCCCAAGGGGTATAAATATGGCACTTAGCCATTTTATTCACTTTTTCACATTTTCAAGAACTAGAACTCATTTCTCTCTCAAGTATCATCCGACTTTTCTTCAAGATCTTCAAGAAAGTAAGTGTTTCTTGCCTTGTTTAGTCGATATCTTCCTTAATCTCGTAATCTTACATGATTTCATCTGTGAAATCATTCCATTTGTGTAGATCTTCAAGTGTTCTTAGTTTCACCAAGAACACCAAGAATACACACTAGTGTTCTTGGACTTCTAACACCCTTTCAAGCTTCTACATAGTAAGTACTCTTACCTTGGCTTGTTATAAGGCTTGCTACACTTCTAAATCATCTAGAAAACACAAGGAAACACAAGATCAAAGGTGTTTACGGTCCAAGATGTTCTTGGACCGCAAACCCTAATGAAGGGGCCAAAGTATGCCCTAGTCCCTTGCCAAGCCTTGGATACTAGTCTAGATCATATCCTTAAAGTGCTTAGGACTTTAAACATCAAAAAGACCATAAACCATTTGGGTTTACGGCCGTAAACCCATGGAGAAATGGTCCATGGACCGTAAACTCCACAAAGGGGTGAAATGGTGCCCTAGTCACTTCCAAAGGCTTAGACTTGAAGTAGGAATGCTTCTATAGGACTTATAAGATTCAAAACACAAAATGGTAAAAGTACCATGAGTTTACAGCCGTAAACTCATGGGTTTACGACCGTAAACTCCAATGTAGTTGGTCCCAAAACCGTAAACTCATAAAGAGCTTACCCTTGGACCCTAAACTCAATAGCCAAGTCCTACAACCCTTAGATGCAATCCTTAGTACTTATAGCACTTAAATAAAGTGTTTTACATGTCTTAGGATGTCTTAACTTGGTTAATTAGTTGTTTAATGACTAATTGGATACATATATGTGTTATTATATGTTAACTAGGATCCTTGTGTGTGTTCAAGTCTTCACTTGACACTTAGCATCCTATAACAATCCGTTCATCCAAACCACTCACTACAGGTGAGTTCATACCCCTTAATGAACCTTTTAAATGATTTTAAATGCTTTTATGGGGGGGGGGGGGGGGATACAAGTTGAACTATTATAGTTATTATATCAATCACATGTGATTAATAACTACCAAACAAGTGGATTTCTTACTTTTCAAACTGTGTTATCAAACTGTTTTACTTCAAACTGTTTTACAAACTCTTTTACATATCAAATACTTTTATTAAACTCTTTTAAACTTATATTCTGTTAAATGTGTATCTATATAGATATAGTTATATAAGTAGGATTGAAAGGACTTAGGACTGATAGCTCACCTTATTTCCTGTTCCTTGTTTGGTTGTGGACTTAGGGTATTCAGGTTATTTGTCCGAAGGTCGTTTGAATCCTAGTTATATATTATGTATATGTGTATAGATATAAAAGTTCCTTCTTCCATCCAGTTCAATACCTTTGGGTAGCAAAGGTATACACACATGTTCATACAATCAGACAACATTACTAGTAAGCTATAATAGGTATAGTTTAGAGAGATACTAATACTATTACTAGAACAATGAAACATACAAAGAGTCAGTTCATACATGAGTCAATACCATACAGCGAGAACATAACATACATATAGAGAATACTATGATGAGAAACAAACAATACCATACAGAGAGAACATACATACATGCTAGACAGGGAGAGAACACACAATACAGCTAGCACATACATATACTAGAACATTACTACAGTTATGTGAACCACGTAACGGGGCATGACATTACCTGTCATGGCCGTTTTGTATCCAGAATCTCCTTAAGTGGGGAGCGTATGAGTTTATGTATAGATCTATACTGGATTGACTATCCTACACCTTGCTGCTCGCTACAGTGGGACTTGCAAGTCTACGGGTGCCAAACGTCATTTCTTCCGACGTCTTACATCGTCGTGTTTATAGTCGGTAGCAGGATACAGGCCGATCACATGGTACTTTAAATAACAATTGGTTTAAGGTAGTTAGTACAGCAGTAGTTACTTAATACAACACTACAGTACTATTTCATTTTCCCATTACATTCGCTTTGTGACCTTCACACAATAGACAATAATGTAAAACTATATTTTTGGTTAATGATAGTCAGATTTGGGAAAATACATACTCTTACAAGAGATACACACAGATACTAGATGCCTTGGTAGAAGGCTACTTTTAGTAGGAAACATAGGGTTTTCTAGGGGAGTTCAAACAATTACAAACTTTTACAAACTTATACATTACAGACTTACAAACACTTTCATACAAACACATACACTAATATACTTATGAACTCACCAGCTTTAAAGCTGATAAACTCTTTCAAAATAACTTGTATTCTCAGGTCACCAGTAGACAGGTACCGGTGCCAGGTTTTGAGAAAAATGGAGCTCGTTCAAGACTCATCTTTTATTTTGATTCATATTTTTGGTGTCTATATAACTTGACAGAACACACTTGTATTAGATTATATTATTAATGGAATAGATGATGTTGTTGCTTGTTTACTACTTTGGATTGTTGTGATACTGTACATGACGTCCTCCACCCCCGAACGTTTCCGCCGTTCCGGTTTTGGGGTGTGACAGATTTGTATCAGAGCATGGTTTATAGTGAATCGAGTATATCAAACCATAAAAGATATACGAACTATAAACACAGCGGGATTAAAATACTCTGATAAAGAGTTTATACTTTTAAATAATGAAATATTTAACCAAGTATACATACCTGCATTCATACTAAAATCAGTGTTACTAGGACAGAACAAAAGTATTACGATTGTTGGGCAACACAATTAGACTTAGAGACATATGGTCAACCCTGGGAAGATATAGCCTGATCAACTATATTATCCGAGGAGTGACTAGCATGTGCCTAAGGGTAGTTGTGAGGTTGCAACAAGTCT